CCCCCCCCCCCCCGGCCAGGTGGTGCCCTCTGCCCGGCTGGGTCAACGTCACAAGCTATAAGGAAGAGAATGGAGGGAGCCTTTCCCAGCTGCCTGCACCTGGAGGATTGATCCTCCCTTATCTACCCCTGCTCTGCTGGACCTATGGGCAGAATGGGGAGGGACTGCCCTGCCTCCAGGCCCCTGCAGGGCAGCGCTGGGCAGGGGCCACGGGGCACAGGACCTCAGCTCCAGGCAGGTGGAGCGGCTGGGGCGTATTCACCGGGCGAGTGCCACAGGCAGTGCCACAAGGGCGTGGCAGGGCGGCGGGGGCTCCCCAGGCTCTCTCCTGGCTTGTGGAGGGCCCCTGCACGCACTCGCTGCACGTGGCAGGCAGCACCTGCCCACATGGGGTCCCCTCGCTGCCCCAGGCCAGCACAGCTGGGGAGCAGGGCAGAGGAATCCCTTTGCTCTGTGCCAGCTGGCCCGGGGCAGTCCCCCACCAAGACAGGAGGCATCAGCCCTGGGCGTCCCACCAGTGTGGCCCTTGTCCCGGGGAGGGGCAGGGCTGGTGTGCCTGGCCCCGGTGCTCACCTCAGCGGGGGTCATCTCGCCGGGCAGCTCGTACTGGTCCTGCAGGAGAGGGAGGGAGGCAGAGCGTAAGCCAGGCCGTGGGGCCGGGAGCCGGCACGTGCCCAGGCGGCCTGGGGGTGCAAAGCCAGGTGGGACGTGCGGGTACATGCCCCGGTGGGCACTGACCAAGCGAGCTTGGGGCTCCCTCCAGCCCCCCGGCTCACAGCACGGCACTGACTGTGGGCACGGAGCGCCCCAGCCCACGCTCCCGACTGGCCCTGCAGGGTGCCCGTAGCCCCAGACACCACCTCTCCGCACACTGCTACAGAGCTGCCCCCTCCTGCATGGAGCAGCCCCCCTGCCTCCCAAGGCCTGTGGGGCTGACAGGAGGCTCAGCAGAAGGAGGGGAAGGGCTTCAGGCCCTGGCATAGGGATGTCGACAGAGGTAGGAGCCCAAGTATCCCAGAGGGGCTGGGCCTCTGTTCCCATCCAGTGGGTGGGGGTGGGGGTGTGCCTGCCTGCCCTACCCTGGGGGCACTCCAATCGCTCCTGGGGGCAGACAGAACGGTCCCTGGCCTGCAGGAGGGTGCAGCCCAGTGACCTCGCTCAGCTTCTCTTGGGTCAAGGGCAGAAGCAGAGGGACCTGCCTCTCTGGT